GATAGTAATATCTTACACAGATATTGCTTTTTGCCTTGAGGCCATGCGCCTAAGCCCTAAACCATCACCTTTGACTTAAGAAAACTTCCTTCATCTCCCATCTCCACCACAGGCATATCCACACATGAGCCAAATAATTTTAGGGACATGGTTTAGTGGTGGGATGGCAGGGTTTAGGTTAACGGTTGGACCTGGTGATCTTAAAGGTCTTTTCCAACCTAAATGATTATAGGATTTTATGATACTATGATTTTCTATCTGAACCCAGTGTGGAAAGGTGCAACTCAGACCCCTGTTTCATGTGAGAGATTTTGAAGCACGTGGTTGTTCTGATGTTGCTATGATTTTTTTTCTCTCCTCGGAGTGAATCCCTGGCCATAGCACACACATGGGCATTTGTTCCATGGATGTCTCACTGCAAACCAGCCCAAGTTCCCAAGTGAGCCGGCAGGTGGTAGGGAGAGCCCTCAGCACAGCGTGAGCAACCTCCCTCTCCTCCAGCAGCAACCCAGCAAAGGTCAGGAGGCCAAGGAAGTGTCCCACCAAACCTCTCATCACCCCTGCTATCCATGAGAGCTGCAGAGGCCATTGAGAGCCTGAGTGTTCTGCCTCATCCCATCAGTTAAGGAACTGGTCTCCCTGGGGCTCTGGGGTTACTCTGTCATGCATGCCAGCTTGCCCAGTCTCCAGTGTCTTCTGCTCACTCCTTTCTGATGTTGTTCTGTTACAGAAGATCAGCAATGGGATTCCCCTCCCTCCTGCCCAGGTGCCTCCCAGCCGACTCCATGTGAAGCAGAAGCCAGGTAGTCCTCTGGGCCACTGGGTGTGACGTGAGGCTGTGCTGCTTTAAGGGTCTGCGGAGAGGCCAGTTGCCCACTGCAGCTGTGGCTGCCTGTGCGCTAGCAGGTTGCAGAAGAGCTGCCGGGGGCCTCTGATGACTGCAGGCACTGTTCCTCTGCTCTTGTTTTCTTCTGCAGAATCTCCCAGGGGAGAAAATATCTCTGCAAATGATGCTAGTGCCCAAATGGACTTCAAGGTAAGGTGTTTCACAAGCTGAAGCTGGCACAGCCTCGAGAGATCAAGGCTGTGAAAAGTGCAAGATTCCTGGCCAGATACTCCAAAATTCCAGAGCTGCCCCAAAATCACTGGAAAAAACACTTCCACTGCCCATTTTCCCATTCTAAAGAGAGGCTCCCATGTGGTCTTCCCTCCACCACTCCCAAGTTTGTGACCATACAGTTTTGTGAGGCAGCCCAAGGTTAAGGTTTACCAGGGCAGTGCCCTTTTGCACCCTCCAAGGAGCCAAGAGCTCCAGACACAGCAGCATTCACAGGCATGCACTTTACAGCCCATTTTGTGAGAGAGCGAGCTGTCTTTGAACTACCTGCTGCCCTTTTCCCCTTCGTCCTGTGTGGCATTTTCTGTCCCTGTCACTCTGGGTACTGCAGTTCATTCATTTTTGGGTTCTTCTGGGATGATGTCCCCTGATGCACCAGCAACCACTGTGTGTGATAGAGCTGGAATTGCTCCTGTGTCTGCTTGAGGACAGCACCTCTCTGGCAGTGCCAGCTGCAGATCAGCTCCGCTCCCTTTGTCTTTGCCACCCCTCTTTGGAGTTATTTTTTGTCAGCTGCACTTCAGACAGAAGGCAGCAGAACATGGGGACTTGGCTGTACCTCTCTGGCTGGCTGGAGGAATTGGGGCCCTGCTCGTACACATTTGGGTTTGGGAGGTACCTGTGCAATTGGACCCAGAAATGGGCTTCCTGGGTCATGGGAGGAACATTCGGTCCCAGGCTTTGATTTTGTAGTTCCCCCTCTGAAATTCAGATCTGCATTTTGATGCTGTGCTGCCATTATGTGGTACCACTGAGACGAGGGGTTGCCTCTGTCACTTCTCTTGATACGAGAGCCCTGAATAACCAGACTGTCCATGGTGCTGCGTCTCTCAGCAGATCCCACTGACCTGCGGACAAGCTTCATCCAGCACAGACAGACCTGTTGTGCTGCGAGCGTGCTGCGAGTGCACCGTGGTGGTGAGGGCAGGCGAGGTGCCATCTCTGCTGGACCTGCGGGCTCTGCTGAGGGAGCGGTTCGGCCAGCAGGCAGAGCAGGGGAAGCTGAGGTATGATGCTGCGGCACAGCTGGGCCCTCTGGCACTCTTGGTGCATGAGTGTGTGTGTGACAGGGCAGCAGCAGCCATTCCCCTGAGGATACAGACCTGCCTCTGGTCTCCTGGGAACATTTAATTGGGGTCAGAGCACTCTAGCAGAGATTTAGCAAAGATGTGAACACACAGCCTTCCTTGCAGGGTGAACCTTACCATGGTTTTTGGGTTTTGAGGACAAGCTCCATGGGCTTTGGAGGCCCAAAGGGTCTTTCCCAGGAAATTGTACCATGGTCAGTAAATGGGGGGACAGAAGGAAAAACTCTGTGCAGATGCAGCTGCTGTATATTGGATTTTCTCTCCCTCAGCTCAGCCTTTGAGATACGGTAGGGTCAATGCAGAGCAATTTGGGAGTTGGTCCTGGGGTGAGGTCTCCCTGCCTGTGACATTCCTGGGGACACACAGTCAGTGTAGTCAGGAGAGTTTAGGATCTTCCCCTCAAGTAAGTGCATGAGGAGGTGACCATGTTGCTCCCTGACAGTGCCGTTTCTGCCCACTGAGCGTGCAGGGTGGCCCCATGTCATTGTGCAAGGTGACAAGCTCAGAGCTGGCTTACAAAGGGGGGTTTGAAGGTATCTGCAATGTTAGAGGGCTAGGCTTGCCTCAAAGTTTGGCTCTAAGTGAGGCGTTTTGAGCCATGTTAATGAACCCTTGCAGCTACAGGCACTGGGATGGCAAAGAAGTGGGTGCCGTTTCAGGAGAGGAGGATCTGGGGAAGATGTGGCAGCAGCTGACAGATGGCAGGCTGACGCTCTGCTGCCAGGTACGTGGGCTGTGACAAGCTTCCCTGCTGTGCTGGACTCGCATCTCTGCTTTACCTTGCAACCTCCATGCTGACTTTCTCCTGTAGGACTCGGACTCCCACTCGGGCAGACCCGTCCTCTATCGGATGCTGGCTCAGCACTCTTACCTTGCGCAGGGACCGGGGGACCTGGAGTTCAACAAGGGAGACGTGCTGGATATTCTTTCCGAAGGTAGCTCTCCAGTCCTGCCTGCAGGCTGTACTGGGACAGGCTTTTGGAGTAAGCTGTGGGGAGGGACTGGGCTCCTCCAGTCCTGTCTCAGGCTCATACTCTTAGGAGGTACAGGCTTGCACTGGGGTTTGCCCAGAGTTAAATTCCAGCCATGAAAACTTTCGCTAGCCCCACTTACATGGGCCAGGGCTCATCTTCCTCCTTTATGTTTTCCCAGTGAATGATGACTGGCTCGAAGGACGCTGCAGTGGCAAGATTGGCATCTTCCCAAAATGCTTTGCAACCCAGACTGGTTGTGGTGCTGCCTTCCTATAGCGAACAGGAGCCTGTTCCTGCCTGACTGCTCTGTCTCCCGGGTGGGAAACACCAGTCCCAGCTCATTCAGGCCACAGCCAGCACAGCTAGGAGCTCCGCTGAACCTGGACAGGAGATGTCCCCCACCCACAGATCCTATGGGGTCAGTTCCAGCAGTCCAATGGCATTTCCTCCAGCCTGTTCCCAGATGTGGCATTCTTACCTCTGTGCTTACACTGCCAAAGATGCGCCTGTGCAGGGCAGAGAGAAGAGGGGGAGGGATCTGGTATTTGGCTATGGAAAATGTCCATGTGGCAAGGGCTTGGCCTGCTGGGTGGGAAGAGGTTCCTCTGTGTGGAGGTCATCACCCCCTCTCCCTTGTTGCTCAGATTCAGCCTGGGAAGGCTGAGGCTTGCTCTAGTGAAATCAAGCTATCTGCTGTCTGCGAGCAGGGGGCAGAGCCCAGTTCCCCAGGCCCTTGGGCCACATATCTTTATCTCTGCCAGACAGAGAGATGCTGCTCTTTCGGAAGGCTTTCATAACCAGTGTGCAGGTATATGGGATAATACCCTGGGCTAGGACTGCCACAAATCCTCTTCCACAGCAAACACCCTGTGCAGCTGCCAGAGCCGAAGGGCTCTGAGCATTTCTCATCCCAGATGCCTTTGGTTCTTAAGTCCTGCCTGGATGTTAGTGCTTGATGCTGTGTGGGCAGGGGTCTGGCAGCACAGAGGAGAAGGAACACCCCTGCTCCGACTAGCCCTGGGCTTTGGCAGAGCCTTGGGGGGGCTGGGGAGAGGGCTGGCTGGGCGGCACAGTGTGGGGCTGGTGGCTGGAGCTGGAGGGACTGAAATGACTGTCTGCTTCCTGCAGCTGAGCTGTGCTGGGCTCTGCTGGTCTAAATAAAACACTCAAGTGCCTGGAGCTGGAACCTGCTATGGATTTGGTGTCTGACAAAGCTTGGCTATGTAACTTGAATATAAAATAAACCCTGAGCCAGAGTTGGCATCTCTTACATCAACTTCCACTTGTATTTTTTTGCTGAGATATGCTAGTAAATATGTTTAAAGACAGCTGACAGTGTCTTTGGGAAGACATTCTGTCACATACTGCAGAAATCTTGCATATCTTGCAGAGGGCAAGATACAGGTAAGGTCACCCCTCTCCTCAGAGTTTAGGTGGCCACCACTGCTTGCCATCACTGGTTGCCTCCCACGGCTGTTGGGAGAGCAGCCCAGCAGGACTGGAAGTGCCAAGGAAACTGTGAGGCTGGTTAGAGACATCTGTATTTGAAAAACAAAAAGGATTTTATTTCTAATTTGAATTTTATCTGGCTTCATCTAGCCACCAAGTCCCAGTCAGCTTTGTCAGCCAGGTTAAAGGAGTCTTCTCCTCTTGGAGGTACTTGGGGAGCGCAAGATGCATTGTCAACTTCAACATCATTACAGAGATGACCCAATTAGACCTCCTGAGTAATGGAGATGGGTCTAATGCCCTCATTCTTCTTCCCCTTCCACCTTCTTCTGCACGACTTCCTTGCTAGTTTAGTGGGCAGGAGGCTGGGAGCTACTTGGTTTTCCAGAAGCACTGGAGGAAGATGGTCACCAGGCCTGCCACTATGGCCAGCACAATGAAGGAGACTGCACCAGCCCACAGACTGGGCTGGTGCCCCTTGACGTGTTCCAGAGCCTCCGTGGGGATCATGTTGGTGAAGTTCAGCATGAAGCCCAGTGTCCAGCCGATGTCCGTGTTTGCTGCCTGGGGTGAGACAGCAGAGATCACCCAAAAACACCTCATCCAGGCACCAGTAGCTTCAGTGCAAGGGGCTGATGGGCACTTCTACCGTGAGCTGCCCCAGCTGTGATTTCACACATGGACCTGGCTGTGGTGAGCCTGATCTTACCAGCACCAGTTACACAGAGAACTTTCCTCTCCCCCCTTCCCAAGGGCTAAAGGGCAGCTGAACATGGATGACTGCTCAGGTCCAGATGTGCCTCTGTGACCTGCATGTGGTTCTGGAGCTGAGCTTTCCTCCTCCTCCCCCCATGATCCTTTAAATTTGGTCATATTCCGGTTCAAATGGGTCACAGGACCACCATCACCTCTCTGATGCTTAAGTCAATTCTGCCGAATGTCAGAGATCAAAGTGGCCAAATCCCGCTCTGTGCTTCTCTGACCCCCTTAAAATAAGCTTAAGTTCACACCAGAGCAAGAGAAACAAGCTGGCGTCAGAGGTCTGGGGACAGGTAAGAGTGAAGCTGTGCTGGGATCACGGGGCAGCAGCCATGAGATGGGGAAGCATCCCTGGCATGGAGGATTCCTGGGATGCGGCTCCTGAATGCGTCTTGGGCCCAGGGCGAGGATGGGGCTGCGGCTGCCTGCCCTCTCCCAGCCCTGCGGGGTGTTTACCTGCTGGCTGAAGCGGATGCTGCTCCACGTGTGCTCATTGAACTTGTAGCCATCAAGCAGCAGCGTCAAGATGTAGATCGCCCCAGCACAGTACGTGGGTAGGAACCGCTTGTCCTTTGGGAAGGTCTCCACCAGCTGTGGGGCCACCAGGGGACACAGTGCAACAGGGAATGAAATGGATGCTCAGAAACCCTCCCTGGCCCAGGGAGCTGCAGGGTGTGTGCTTCTTGGGCAAAGATTTGGGATGGGACAAGCACAGGGCTCCTTGCTTCCCTTCACAGGGCTCTCACCTCTGTCCAGTTCTTCTTGCAGAAGGCCTGGACCGTGGAGTTGACGTCGCTCAGAGACTGCTGGCTGGTCAGGTTCAGGAAGTGGAAGGTGTAGTAGAACCCAGCAAAGGCCTGGGGGGTAAGGGGAGATGGTAAAAACATCATCTCCTCCCTCACCCAAAAAAAAAGAGCCCCTCCTTCCTGGGGACAGAGTTCCATGTAATTCCCAGGGTTCTGCATCCATCCAGCACCCACTTCATGGTCCACCAGAAAGTCGATGCTGGTGGACAAGCCCTGGGGCTGCTGCTTGCGCTCTGAGCTAGCTCAGACTTGCTGCTTGGGACAGGATCTTCCCATTTCCCTCAGGGAGGGCTGGCACATCGCAGGAAGCAGAAGCCACCTCCCAGCACAGGAGAAGAGGCTTGCAGATGGGATCAGCTCTAGGGTCCTCTCCCTCCTCACCCCTTCCCACAACCAGGGGCAGAGGAGACTCCCACCCTCCATCCTCCCCCACCACAGCCATGGGGATGGAGGCTCCTTACAAAGAACTGTCCCCGCACGGGCGGCTGATAAACTCCATTGAACCCGCACGTCCTGTTGGCCCCACAGCTGAAGTTGAAGAGCTTCTGGATGGCAGTGCTGCACATGTCTGGCTTCCCTGTGCCCGTCACCCTGAGGACCTGTGCAGGGCTGGGCGTGCTCGGTGCACGGACACAGGGACTGTTGTAGAGGTCTGCCATGGTGATGTTCTCCTGGTATCCCTTGGGGTAGCAGGGGTGTGATATCTCCTGGGAAGGTGGGCTGCCCTGGAGAGAGTGGGAGCCATTAGCAGGGCTTGGCCTGGGATGCCAGTGAGACCCCAGCCCATCCTGTGCTTAGACAGTCCCAAAAAGCAGGATCTAGACCCTAGGAGGATTTGAAGAGAAGCAGGACCCATCCTTTGCATGACTAACCTGCCCACAGCTTTTGCTGGTCCTGCTGTCAGCCCCACTGCTGAGCCATGCTGGGGTGGCAATGCCACTGCCAGCCCGTGCCTCCCCATGGGGACGGCAACCTGCTCCCAAGGGCAGTGCATGGAGAGCTTGCTGTCCTTGGCATTCACTCTGTCCCCACCACATCTTGCTGCCCAGAAAGGATCAAAGATGCATCCCGCCCGCACGGTCCCCAAGCATCTCCCAAGCTGGGTTATGCGCTCTGTCTGAGGTGAGATCAGTGGTGGCACGGTATGCAGGAAAGGATGTTGGAAATCCTCTCTCTGGGCAGAAACTAAGGAAGGGTGAGTGAATGGGGTCAGGGAAGAACCTAAGGATACAGCTGGGCTTGGGAAATGGTGAAAAATGCCATTACATGTCAACATCTGGGGAGAAGGGAGCCCTGGTGGGAAACCATTACCACCTTCCACCCAAGTGAGAGAATTTTTTGGTTCTGTAGGTAAAATCTAAGCTTCTCCCAGGTTTTTGGATTTGTGAAAATTCCTAATTCCCTAACACTTTTTCCACAGGCATGCCCAAAATTTCTGCAAGACATTTTTCATGTCAGTGGGAAATGGTTGAGCAGATCCTGGTGACCGGTGGCTGTGGTACCTGGTGGAGAGCTGCCAGCAGCATCTTCAAGGCCTGCGTCTGCCCATAGCAGCCGTAGCTGTGGGTGTAGAGCGAGTAGTTGGTGCCGTACAGCCTGAAGAAGGCGGAGTTGTCCTTGTCCTCAATGGTGACTCCAGGCTGGAAGGTTATTTGTGTCGAGGCACCTCCAAGGTCCAGAGCGCCTACAACCTCGGTGTCCCGTGGATGTTCCCATTTCCCTGCAAAGGAAAACTGTCCCCATGGCAAGTGTTAGTATGAACTGAAGGGGGTCACAGTCCCTGTCCCTTCCCTCAAGGTTTTGTGGGCTCAGAAGCTCCTGAGGGACCTTCCACATCCTGTCTCGCTGTTTAACCCCTTCCTGCCTCTGTCCTCCTTGACCCATGCAGACCTCCATGTAGCACTGAGGAGGCTGCTGCACATTAGCTGGGATCCAGAGACTTTGAGGAGGGAAACAGTAACACGTTCATCTGGGGTCTGATATTGCTGCATCCCTATGATACCAAAATCAACCCACATGTAAGTGGAGAGCACAGGGCCAGGCTGAGCTGGAAACAGAGACCCTTGATACTGTTACTCACATCAATGGAGTTGCATCTGCAGTTCACAGCAACAGGCTACATTTATTTAGGTGACCAGTGCCCTAAAACTATATTTTTCTCTCTTCTGGGAATAGAGAAACCTGGTTGTAGCTTGGACAGGGATATATATACTGCTTATCCCCCCTCTGCCCTCTCCCCCAGCCCACACCTTGACCAGGGTCTCCAGCAGGTAGTTGACGGTGATCCAGCCAAAGGAGCCCTCCTCATTCCCCGTGAGGATCCGAGCTCCGCGGAAGTCCACAGGGTACTCGCCAATGGCCTTGGAAACCTCATCGAAGACCTGCTTGGCCTTGGTGTCGTTCTGCTCCCTGCCCAGGGAAGGAGATAAAGACCACATGGTGGAGGAGGCAATGGCTGGGGAGCTTTTGGAGCAGGGCTAACAGCAAGAGGCTGCCGTCTTCTGCAAAGCATCAGGGCTGCTCAGAGACAGGGCAAAGCCACCAAACCCCTCAGCCAGTGCACTGGGAGGCTCCCTAAAAATGCTGCCTGCGGGCTCTGCCCGAGCATGGGGGAAGGTTACTGCGAGTCTGGCAAAGGATCCCCTC